ATTAAAAGATGATAAATAATTTAGCAAAGCCGAAATTAAAATCTAAATTTTATGAAAATTATTATTTGATTTATTTATTTTTAAATTTATTTTTAAATTATATAAGCGCGCTCCTCTAGGGTGCGTCACTAATTTGTCACCACGTGTAAATTTAAAAATTGGATTTAAACATTGATTTGAACATTGGATTTGAACTTCAACGTAGTATTTATTTATTTAAAAGAAAAAATAGGACATTAGTAAATTTGAAAATCATAAATTTTATTGATATGCCAATTCTTCAACTGAAGGACACATGCATACTAAATTTCTATCACCAAAAGAATCATCAATTCTTCCACAGGATGGCCATACCTTCCTTGGTGTAAGACACCATGGCTTTGGCCAACCAGCTTGTTCTCGATTGTAAGGTCTGTTCCAATTGTCGGTCATCAAAACTGCTTGGGTGTGTGGGGCGTTCTGAATATGCAAAAATTAGTAGTTCAATATTTTCATCCCTACTTTGTAGAGATCAATGTGTAGTTGTCCTTTAGCTATTTGCTCTATTTCTTGTTTGATTGCAATCAAAGAATCACAGTACAGATCCAATTCTGCTTTGTCTTCACTCTCTGTCGGCTCAATCATTAAGCTATCACGAATCGGCCTATAGAAAATTTTAAGTTTTTCTCCCTAAGAAATTTAAAAATCTAGCCAATGCATTGTTGGTGCATGAAATCCAAAATCCATTAAACGTTTAGCTATATCATCCACTTCAATACCAACATGCTTGAAAGGCTTGCAGTCTATAATGAATTCATGAGCATTCAAGCCTTGTTCGTCTCTATAAACAACTCGATAACCCGAATTTTCTAATCTTTTTGCCATATAATTAGCATTAAGAATAGCCATTTGGGAGGCAATTTTTAGACCAGATATACCCATCCTTTAAAAAATTAAAAAAATAAATAACTAAATAATTATTTTACAATCTAATATATGCCCAAGTAATTGGCAAAATACTGGCACTTCCCCACGGTGCACCGCTCACAACGCCATCATATCTTTCTCCATTTTGTGGTATTATTGGATGTCCAGGTAGGAAAGGTGCAAGATGTGATTTACTTAATTTATTTAAATTTGATGGAAAGTTTGTTTTGAATATTTTGTGGATAAATTCTAGAGGTGTTAAATACTGAAAATTTCTATGACTCAAGGTGGACCCGAGTCGAAGAGAAAGAAAACCCACGAGCCCATGAAATAAAACCCCCAAGAAAGTCTTTCGAACAAGAGTCTTGTTCCAAAGACCCTTGTTCCCAAAATTAACTTAGGATCAGTCTTTCTCCGAAAATTTATTAAGAAAAAACTGTCCTCATTCAATATTTAATTATTAGGTCAAATGTGGGTCCAAAATTATTAAATAAAATAAATTTAAAATTTTTAAGTAAAATTTTTTCCCTAAAATAATTAAAGCTTTCATCAGTCAAAGTACTCATCTCTCCCCATATTTCCTATTATTCCTAATAATATCTACATACACTCCAATTGGTCCCATTCCTGGACCTCCACCACCATGAGGTATACAAAAAGTTTTGTGTAAATTAAAATGGGAAATATCACTTCCATAATCTCCAGGTCGGCAAAGACATGCTTGAGCATTGAAATTAGCGCCGTCCAAATAAACTTGACCTCCTTTGAAAATATTTTTTATAAAATTAAATTTAAATAATTTAACCATGTTCGTGTATTTTATTACAAACATCTTTAATTTGTGATTCAAAGACTCCATGAGTTGACTTAAAATATTAAAAATTTAAATAAATGATTTTTGAAAAAAGTTAGGGTTATATTAAATTAAAGAACTTAGAACGAGAAACTTAGAACGAGTGCTTTGAGAATTTAGAACGAGTGCTTATAAATTTCAGAGTTGCTCGTACTCGTAATTAGTACCACCCCGTTTTTTGGCCTCGTACTTCGTACCAGCCTATTTTTTTTGCTCATACTCGTATAAAGTACGAGTACGAATTTTGGTACGAGCGAAAAAGCTTTACTTAGAACCTATATTGCGCGTGTGTTTATACTTTGATAAGTAAAGCTTCTACTCCCATAAAACTGGTTATTCTAGATATAAACTTTAGTGAAATCGAGCTAGCTAGGAAAATGGGTACAATTTGGACGTTACCGTATTGTTTAATGCTAACAGCCTTAAAGATTTCATAATTTTAGTTTATTTAAAAGTATTTTATTGTGGCGTAAGATAAAATAATTTTCAAGTTTTGATTAATTTTGAAAAAAATAATCTTACAGGATATGTAATCATTGCACATGCTAATTCATTAGAAAAACGTTCACACTTAAATATATTTTTTAAATATTAATTTTAACTTAATTTTTATACTTTAGCAGAGAGATCTTTGAAATTAATATTTCCATGTTTGTCTGATTCAACTGGAATAACTTTAAAATTAGCCATATGTGCAGTAGCTGGGTTAGTTCCATGGGCAGATACAGGGATTAAACAAATCTTTAAATTTTAATAAATTTATTTAAAAATCTCTTTTCCTAAACAAATTTACATTTCTTTGGCTTTCCCCTTTCGAATGAAAATAACCACGAATTGCCAACATACCCGCATATTCACCATTAGCTCCACTAAAAATTTGAATTAATTTAATAAAAGAACAGTTCCTTTTAAAAAATTTTAAAAATCAAAAGAATATGAAGGTTGATTAGGTTAGACTGACAATAATTTTAGATTCACTCTCTACGCCTTATTGAATTTTTTACCCCAAAAATTTGACTAGCTCGGAGATATTTAAAAAAAGTGACTCGCTAGTGACTCACACGGAGATTTGTCCACTGGTTAATTTTGCACTCGGCATGTCTCGACAAGCTTTCAGAATAAAACAAAAGCTGAAAGGGGACGGGGAGGGGGAACGAGAGCTTAAACCAAAATAAATTCTAAAGAAGAATTTCCTTAAAACAGAAGTTAATCCATTTCAGAATTCTAAAGTTTAACTTATCCATAAACATTAAGAATATTTTCAGTTAAATTCATTAAATTAAAAAATTGAAAGTTGTCTACACCTCATGAAAATTGTCTTAATAAATAATTATTCACTATTACCTATTTGGTTGTAAAGAGAATTTATCATAACCAGTAAGTTCACAAAACCAACGTTCCAAATCATTAAAAACCTAACAAAAATAACAATTAAACTAATTAATTCCTAAATACTTTAGAATATCCTTTTGCTTGTTCTGTAGGTACAAAAGGGTGAATATTAGCTAATTTTGGCCAACTTATCTTTAAATAATTTTTTTAAGTTTAAACAAATTTTTAAAAAATTTACAGGAATTAATTCACAACTTGCATTTAATTTCATTGTACAAGAACCGAGGGGAATCTATAATTTCAAAAATTAAATTAAAAATAAAATTATTTTAACCATTGAATGTACAAGTGAGAGATCTTTGTTTTCAAGTCTTTTCATGTATCTTTAAATAAATTAGGTATTTAAAATTAGAGACCGGACTGGGAGTGTTGTACAGGAATCTAGATCTCGGAAAATACCGATTCTCGATAACCGTGATTCTCGATCGAGAACTCGTCCGGTCCGGTGCTATTTAAAGTTATTAATAAAAATATTTTTCGTTTGGAAAAGTTTGTTTTTTGCCATAACAGTTATTTATATATTCGTACCAAAATTAGTATCCTTGCCCACAAGCACAAAAAATTAAGGTCTGGGCCCTACCATAGGAATAAATGAACTTATGACGGCTTACAGGTTCAATAATAAACTCGTAGGCTTAACTGATTTCAATTTTAAAATTTGATAAAATTATTAAAAATTATTCACCTAATAATCTTAGTTTCACTATGATAACTATTAAATACATGTCCAGTTAAAAAAGGCGAATGTCTAGAATGTAGAGAATTACCAATTAAAGGTGTTGAAGTTTCCATTAATTTATTTTTAATTTCTTTCTAAAAGAATTTAATTCTTACTTTAATAATAATTACAACTAAACATTGGCCAGGGTCGGGTTTTCAAGTGGCGGTAGCCCGTAAAGCGAATATTTTATTGAAGTCTACTTTGGGGTAGTGGGGGGGGGAGGTTCAGGGGTCAAACCCGTTAATTTTTTCCTCACATTAAAAAATGTATCGGCACCGGTTCTTGTCTGAAAGACATCCCATGGTCTTTGTAAGAAAAAACCATGGATACCAGTCTCGACAATAATGTCGAGTTCTGATAATAATTTAAATTTACCTCACAAATATTAATTCCAAATAAATAGAGAATATCATAAATATCACAAACTTTTTAAAAATCATTTAAAAAATATTTTTCTAAAAATACTTTTAGTTGTTTCATCCAACGAAATACCGATATAACCATCATTATAATTTCTAACATTTATTCTTTTTTCCTCACATTTCAAATCAAATAATTGCTTATTTAATGGAAGAATTTTTAATGTATCGAAAAAACATTTATGGACAACTTGAATTCCATTAGCTTTTAAGGCTTAAAAAATTAATTTTTAATTATCTAAAGATAAATATTATATTTTGGGTATCTATGTATTAAGAGTCCATCTCAGAGTATCTACACCGAAAAATCGTATCCAAAGTAGCGATGACCCAAAATACCGAAACCATATGATTAACACTAATTTTTTAAATTTTATTATAAAACAAGGGAAGATTGTTCCAAAGAGGGAAGTTTATTTTAATCAAAATTTTCATTTGATCAACATCAATTAATTTCTAAGGGGATTTTTGATTGATAACTAGATGATCGTATCACTGTCGTTTATCAATTTTTGATCACTCTCTCAATTGATCATTACTCGGTTTTCGATTCAAAAGTTTTTTAACAATATTTTCTATTTTAATATTTCTCAACTTTTTCCTATTTTGTATAGAGTTTTGTTTCTAAACAGCTCTTTTTCGGGCCAAAATTCAATGCCCGATTCGATCTATCGAACCAAACCAAACCGGGCCAGAAACCCTAATTAGATTAGCAAAAATTCTGAACTAAACAAAATTTCAAATTACTTTGCGAAAGAAATGATGTAGCTTTATGTATTATTTTGGCAATATAAACTAAACGATTGGGTCCATGATAGATTGCATACCTTAAAATATTCAAAAATAATTTTTTTTAATTCTCTTTCTATATCTCTCCGTCAAACAATCTAAAAAACAAACATTGCAGAAATATTAGCAGGAAGTGCTTGAGCAGTGCAAATATTGGAGGTTGCTTTATCTCTTCGAATATGCTGTTCTCTAGTTTGGAGAGTTAGACGATAAGCAATATTTCCCTGCTGATCTCTAAAGATGTGAAAAAATAGCTCAAATAATTTCCCAATAGCACCTAGAAACTCCAACAATCCTTCCAGGCATTTGTCTAGCCAAAGCTAAATTGGCAACAGACATGAAACCAGCATGAGGCCCGCCATAACCAAGAGGAAGTCCAAAGCGTTGAGCACTACCTACTGCAATATCTGCACCCAAATCCCCGGCAGAACGTAAAAGTGTGAGAGAAAGTAAATCACAAACCATTATAACGAGAATCTAAAAATTAATATAGAAGATTTATACTATAAGTATAAAAGGATGTTTGTGCTTATTCACGTGCATTTTAACTTTTCATAAGGGATGGGCCCTCACACATTTTAAGAAGCGTTAACGAAAATCGGAACGCGGAAGTGTAAAAAAGCAGAATGGCAAAACATCCCAACCAAGCTTTTCATTTGTGAAAAGGAATTCTTGCGCTCTCGGTTTATCAACATTCCCGACCCATATCATCTATTATTTGTGTTATTAACATTTTATCTTACTCTTGGCATATTAATGTCCCGCATAAATCAACCCAGATGGTCATTATTTAATTATAAGTAATCATATCTAATCTGACCGGACCTTTGTATTTGCCCCATTTAATTACCCTACTGATTTCGGGACCTACGTCTATTGGGTCTTGGATAATATATTGTCCAATTGGAATAGGTTCGTCCCGATATGTCTGCATACCATATGTATTTAAATAATTTGGTTAATCCTCGAAAGAATTCATAACCAGTGTGATTTCAATAATTTTTTCAAAACTATCTATTCACCTTTTCTTTATGTGCGCATTGAATTAATAAATCCAAATCTTCATAAATTAACCCTTCTGTGTTGGGATATTGTAAAATAATTGCAGCAACATTATCTACAAACTTGTTATTAACACTTCTTTCATTAATATCCAATGGTTGAAAATTAATATCCATTGGTTCTGAACGTGTAGCCATTACACCAATATTTTGTGGATGTAATTTAGTATCATAAAGGATTGCTGTAAATAAATTTATTAAAGTTATGTAGAGTTATCGAAAAATCGAAGTTAAGTTAAAGATATCCTAAGATTTCCAAGAAGTGACTACATTAATTATGACAGAAACTTTAATTTTAATATGTATTTGTTCAAGTCAAAATCGCTATTTCTAAGGATGCGCGGAAAATAAAATTCCCGGCAACGGAATTTAGGTAAAGCCTTCTCAGCTTATAACCGACCAAATAAGATTTGCATTTTTCTTGGGTTTTTATGAAATTTTTATTTGAATTTTTTAAATTTATGCCCCAGTGACTTGACAATGAGTATCTGGATACGTGTCCGGTAGTTTCGTTAGAGGTTAGTTTCGTCAGAGGACATTTTCGTCAGAATCAGTTTCGTCAGATGCCTATTTCGTCAGAGAACAATTTCGTCAGAGGGTTGTTTCGTCAGAGATTAGTTTCGTCAGAAGTCCTTTTCGTCAGCAAGGCTCCCTTTTTAAAAATCTAATTACACGGCGGTATTATGACATATAGTAGGTTATTTGTTTCTGGATCGATTTCGGCGGATAAGATGTCATTCGAAAGAGCTCTAAGAACTGAGTCGAATTAGTTGTGGAAGAAGTTTATCCGACATTCCGGGACCAAGTTTCAAACTCCTGCATATTGAAAAATGGTGTAGTGAAGCTCAGTTCGCCGAACCGATTCAACTCGTCGAGCTGAGTCGGTTGAGCTATCATTTATAAAATAGAATTTTTCATCCCAAAAATCAGCTTTTTTAAGCTCTTTCGAGTGAAACCTCATTTGTTCAAATAGATCCAGAAACAAAAAACCTATTATAAGTCAAAAACCGCCGTGTAATTAGATTTTTAAAAAGGGAGCCTTGCTGACGAAAAGTACTTCTGGCGAAACTTATCTCTGACGAAACAACCCTCTGTCGAAACTGTTTTCTGACGAAAAAGACCTCTGACGAAACTGATTCTGACGAAAATGTCCTCTGACGAAACTAACCTCTGACGATACTACAGGGCACCTCTGGATATCATGGTCCTTCGTCCTTCTTAGTTTATGTGTGGATTTTTTTAATTTTTCATGGAATTTTTAACTTTGACAAGAATTTTCTTAATGTTTCAAATTTCTATTTCATCATTTAAAGTTGTTTGTTATTTAATCAAAAACAAAAATTACTAATTTCTTAAACTAAAAACAAACTTCTTTTTTTAGTTACACGAACAGCTAAGGCAATAGCCTCGGCACAAGCAGTACTTTCATCTAACAACTTTAATTGGAATTTATAAAGAAATTAAATTTAAAATTTAATTTACTGAAGCATTTGCAAAGGGTAAACCAGTTAAATCAGATATCATAGTCTGGAAATTTAAAAGACTTTCTAAGCGTCCCTGTGCTATTTCTGGTTGGTAAGGAGTATATGGGGAAGTCCTAGAAATTTAAGAAAATAAAAATTTTAAAAATTATTTATCTCTTTTGTTGGAAAAATCCAAATTTTCATAATAAAGTCACTAGCTAATAAAAGTGTAAAAAACTAATACATTTCTGTTTAATAATTAAGTTCTGTTCTAAATTTAATCTTGTTTGATAGTTGGTTTAGGAATGTTTAGCGATTGCGGATATCTCAAACAAAAAAAGGTCTGATATTAGGAAATCTTCGTGTCGGTTCCTGATATCTGAGATTTCCCAGGAAATAGGGAGAGAAGTAAAAATCTCTCCTAGCCATAGGGAGAGGAGAAAAGAACAAAAATTTGTCCGCAACGTGATCCGCAAAAATTACATAGGGCTAACGAAGTAGGCCAAATTATTTTTTAAAAAATTTAAATAATTAATCACCATCCAGCATTTTGTAACATATTTTTAACAATTACTGAAGGTACAATACAATCTTTAAAATTATTTTTCAATAAATTTTTGATAAATGAATATATTAAATAATACATACCATAAAATCCCATACCTAAAAATTAATAAAATAAAAATAGTAAAAAATTATTTTAAAAATTATTCACTTAATTAATTTTTAATTAAAAATATACTAAAAAGAATAGCTCAGTGTTATGGGTTCAATAGTTATTTACATATAACAAGCGGCAGGAGGTTGTAACTAGGGTTGTTGGTTCTGGACCGAATCGAACCGAAAAACTGAGGATTTTTCGGTTCGGTTCCGGTTATCCGGAGAGTTTCCAGGAACAGACAATCCTACTCGTAACATAAGGAAACTCTGGTAACATAAGAAGCAGACTTATGGACAATCCTCCTACCGAAAGGAAAATCTAAGCTGACAAAAATTGGCCATAAATTAGAAATTGTATAATTTTTTCATTTTAATTAATTTATTTAAATTTACCAATAAAAGTTTTGTAAGGATTATTTAATGATGCAATTTCTCTTAATTCGTCTAACATTTTAGATTCGTTTACACCCTCCTCAGGAATTTGTTTACCCAATTTTTGACGTAAACGAATACTTTCTGGCACGTTTGTGTTGGTTAACTCATCCAAATCCTTTTTAAAAAATATGTTTAAATTACATAAATTAAATACAAAAAATTTTACAAAGAATTATAATCGGACCTCAACTGAGTTTATACACGTGTGTAAACATAATACGATTGAACAAGTTTTGACAAAATTATGATTAAAGTACCACCTTGGAGTTGGCAAGACTACCCTGAGGTTTAATACTGACTTTTACCTCACGCATCTTCCTGGAGTCAATGGTTTCTAGGGACTCTATCTATTCCTTTTTCAATTAATTTTGTAAATCTTTAAAAATGAACTTGAGGGAGGGAGTGGGGACTGCCTAAGTTATATTTAATGAGTTTGTTTCCACATTCACGGTTGGGAGTTTTTATGGACGTGGTCCTCATTTACTGTATTTTTTTCACAAACACAATTGCGGTCCAACTTTATTTTATAAAGTTAAATATTTGGACCCTATCTGAATAAGAGGGCGGTTTGAATTTTTTTCTTCATTTTTTCCTACCTTAATATATAAATAAAGGTCAGTCTTTTCTTCCTCGTTCAATTCCACTCTTTTTACCTGTGGCAAATTCAAATAAAAATAAACAAAGAAAAGATTAAAAAAACAAAAAATGTAAAAAAATAAAACAAAAAGTAAAAAAAAGTTTGTTTACGTTTCACTTTCATATATTTTATATTTTTTTGTAATTTACAAGAATGCGTAAAAAAATAACTAATATTGTCGAATCTAATGAGGTAATTGATTAATACATTATGTTTAATGTTAACACATTTTCAGTACTCACCAGATTTTGAGGTTGTTTTCGGTCTGTAACTCTCTCTACGATTGCTTGTCCTCCTTCTCCCCTCTCAATGCATCCGAAGTACCTGAATTATTCAATATTCATTTTAGACATCTTTCAAAGGAACCTACCAGATCTGCGTTCCCTTTTTTGGCTTTCCTCTCTTATGTTTCTGCTTTACCCAGCAAGTTTCGTCTATTTCAATAATCTTCCCAGGTCCTCCAATTTTTCCCTTATTGACAGTACATTCTTTTCTACAGTAGTTAAACCAATCAACTACTGTGTTTTTATCCAAGTTAAGTTCCTTGACCACATTTTTATTCCGAAAATCTTGCAGCCACATATATATTAATGCCAAGAGTTTCTTGAGTGGAAGTTTACTTTTTTCGAAAAACGATCTATAACGAACGGACTTCTTCTTACAACATTCGTTGCATCTCCACTCAAAATCTTCTTTTTTTTTATTTAATCCCATCAAATTTTCGCAACTTTCACATTTCATTTCGTTATTCAGTAACCCATGGTACGCTAAAAATTTTAACACCCCTATATTATCCAAAGATAATATCCAAAAAAGAGTTATAACCTCAAAATCTGGTGAGTACTGAAAATGTGTTAACATTAAACATAATGTATTAATCAATTACCTCATTAGATTCGACAATATTAGTTATTTTTTTACGCATTCTTGTAAATTACAAAAAAATATAAAATATATGAAAGTGAAACGTAAACAAACTTTTTTTTACTTTTTGTTTTATTTTTTTACATTTTTTGTTTTTTTAATCTTTTCTTTGTTTATTTTTATTTGAATTTGCCACAGGTAAAAAGAGTGGAATTGAACGAGGAAGAAAAGACTGACCTTTATTTATATATTAAGGTAGGAAAAAATGAAGAAAAAAATTCAAACCGCCCTCTTATTCAGATAGGGCCAATATTTGCCTTAAATCCAAGATAACGAAGCATTTGCTGTTTCTCCAACTCTAGAATATATTTTGAAAATTAATTTAGGAAAAATATTTTTTAATTTCAACTAACCACAAGGACCATTATGTCTAAAATCAAGAAAACTAAATTTATCATCATAATCACTTAATTTACCTATCAGAAAAACAATCAGAATTTATTTCCCTTATATTAATATTATTATTTTTAAGAGGAAATTTTTGTATTTTTAAAGAATTATTTTTGTCATTTTTTATTTGTAAAGGAAATGATGCAACTCTGCTTTGATTACGAATAATAAAAAGAGTTGATAAAGTATTAACAGATGAAGTTCTTAGCCTTGTTGAATTAAGTACTCGGCGCATTTTTACAAATCTATTCCTTTAATGAACTTTAAAAATAATTGTTTTACTTAGAAAATGTGATATAAGCAGTGTGAAATATTTTATAACAAAAATTTTATTTTACAAAATTTATTGATAAAAGTACCAGATTGGTGCAGACAAAATTTAACAAAAACGTAAAAATAAATGGAAAAAAATAATAATATCAATAAATGTACCCAAATGAAAGGGAGAATATTCTCGTTTTAATGATAGCTACTAGAGCAAATTTCCCATTCAATCAAATGTTTGGGTCCACACTCAGAAGTTAAACTCCAAAATATCAACACTAAAAAAATAAAATGTGAATAGGAATGCAAAAAATGCAAAGAAAAATATGCAAGTAAAATATGAAAAATAAAATTTATGTATGTTTAAGACAAAATATAATTTAAAACATACAAAACTAAAACAAAAACTAAATTAAAATTTTTAAAGTTTTTTCAAAAAATAAAATGTGAAAAAGAATGATATGCGGGTCAATGAAAAAAATAAATTTACACATTTAAAATCAAAATTAAAGTTTAAAATTTTTTATTTTTTGAAGAAATTAATGCCAAATCAATTTACCAACAGTTAACAAAGTTCTTGTAAAAAATAAAAAGAATTTAAATTGTAAAAATTATAATGCAAATGAACTTTGAAGGAAATAATTATAAATTAATTAATAAAAATAAATAATTAGTGATAAAATGATTGCAGATAAGAATATTAAAAATTAGAGGAAAATATGTATGTTAAATGTTGTCTGATTTTTGTGAAAAAATTTCTTTTTAAATAAAAAATAATGAATGGATGTTTTTATAAATATGTATGAGGGTCAAAGTCAAACGAAATAAATAAAAATTAATTAAGATTAAAGGATAAAAAATATTAAATTGTTTAATAAAAAATAAATATTTTTTAATATTTAAAGTTTAAAGAATAGAGTTGTCGGATTTTGTGAGAATTTACAGTAGATTTTACCCCAACGACAATCTCACCGAAAACGAAAATTTTAAAAAGCCTAGAGAATTGCTCAAATTTTTTTAGAAATCTTTACTACTATTTTATCCAAAAAAGTCAAATTTTAAAAAATCTATGAATCTTAATAATCTCAATAATTCTCGAAAAACCTCGATAAAAATACAAGAATATAGATCGACTTCTCGAAAAAATAACGGGATTTTTCTCTAGTTTTATCTATGCAAGTAAAAAAGCTTTTTTCAAATTTTTTAGAAACCTCTATTACTTTTTTATCTCAAATAATTATTTTCTCTTTTCATTTTATTCATCACAAGTTTGACCCAAAATATCCTTCACAATTAAATTGGTTGAATCTCTCAATAAATGAATACAAAAAAGAATTTATTAAAAAGGGATAAATCCATCAATAAATCCTTTCATTTTTGTATTAGTTCTCTTTAAATCGCTAACTGGGTGGATTGTGGTTATCCATTCAAAAAAGAATCGAGAATGACCATTAACGTATTTTTTTCTGTATTTTTAACAACTATTGTGGATAAATTCTCTAATATATTTTTTGCGCCCTATATTTTATAAAAATTAAAAATTTAAAATTAAAAATATATTTTTGTTTATTAATTATTAAACGATCTTAAAAACAGATGAAAATGTCAACTATTCAAATGTTTCCACAATTATTATTTTATTTTATATCGTCATTATTAATATTAAATATTAATGTAAATGCTATTGGCGAAAATCCTGTAAATTATTTAAATAAATATTTAAATTAAATTTGTATTTAGTGGGATATTCAAAATTTCGCAGAAATTATTAGCGGTCTCGGCCAAATGATTCAAAATCCAGCAGAAACTGTTGATGTTCCTTCAGCCCTTATTATGGGAAAATGGTTGGATTTATTTCTTGATTAAATAAAGTTGAATCTGCTTACTTACATCCCTACACATTGTATATTAGAGCTAAGAATGAGCGGAATATGAAAAGGAATTCTTTGATCATTGTTGTTATTCCTGCTGGGCATTATTCACCGCTCAACCCTTAACAGTGATTAAACAGGCAACGACATTATCCTCAGATCGGCAATAATATAGGGTTGATCATTATTTGATCAACCAATTGATCCTTCCCAAAGTTAATTTTTTGGATTATATGGACTCCGGATAGGTCGATCAATAGGAGAGATTATTTCTCAATTCATTTCCGCCGTATATCGGTATTGGGCGATATCAGCTATCAAGACAACTAATTTTCAATTCTCTTTTTGATCCATTCTTTTGTGAATTATTTTTTAATTCATTTCATTTATAAAATTAACCATAAAAATCCTTTAATTTATTCTTAATGAAATTTACAGGTTTCAAGTTTATAAAGCATCCGTCAGTTTTGATATTAACAGGCCGCAAATGTATTGTGCCGTCAGCTATTGTAATTAAAAAATTTTTTTTATTAAAAATATTTTTTAAAAGTTAAACCAAATAGTGTAATGGGGGAGGATGGATTTTCTATTGAGGTTTTTAATGAAACAAAAAAAATTAAATTTAAAAAATAAAAAGGAAGCTTATCGTGCAGTATCAAAAAATGGACCAATAGAAACTTTTAAAAGAGATTTAAATAAAGTAGGTACTGGCAAGTATTGGATGTATACTGAAGAATATTTTTACCCAAGACAATGTAAAGGATTAATTTAAAATTATAGAGTACCTTATTTACTCAAATAATTACCCTGGGTAGTTATTTTTCAACCTTTGGCTGGAGGGGGCATTTAATAGGGAGAGGGTAATTATATAAGAAATACGAAAAATAATTTAAATAATAATTATAATTTCTAGTTTATATAATCAAGATT